ATTTTAGATTTGGAGATAGGCAAAATGTAGCTGAGCCATATCTATTTATATATATTTATATGTTAGCTATATAGCTGGCCAAACGGTTGGACCAAATGGGCTGAATTTTTTTAGGGAACCCTTGGGTGCCCGAGGAGTAACATAGGATAGGCTAAAAAATCGACATTTTTTTCTTCTTCAAAAATCAAATGTTTTTTTTTCAAATTAAATTGTTTTTGTAAATCTAGGGGACATTTATGCAATTATGCATGCGTGCATATAATAATAATAACAATAATAATAATAGTAATAATAATAATAATAATATATGCATTATAAATGTATTGTTATATATATGTATAGGTAGAGGTAGTTGGTAGAGTACAGGCTGGTGACTATGCTGTATACCCTGAACTAGATCATATCGCCCAGATATTGGCGGGCAGCGAGGACGCTCTCAATACAGTAGCGGACAGGTAAAGTTTTTACCATTACTACTAAATGTTATTTTTGGAGGAATTTAAATGATTTTTCAGCAATAAAAACATCATTTATTGGAAAAAAATCATTAACAAAAAAAAACAAGAAAAAAATAAATAAGAAACCGTTATGTTTGATTTTCTTGGGGATCCAAGTTACTTACTACCCACTACCCAGCCAGATCATACGAATAAAACATAAGTGCGAAAATAAACTTTTGAAATATTTCAATATTATGAAAACCTTGTAGAAAATCATTTCTTTGCCCCGCTGTATTGTACTGTACTGTACACTGTACTGTACTGTACTGTACTGTACTGTACTGTACTGTACTGTACTGTACTGTACTGTACTGTACTGTACTGTACTGTACTGTACTGTACTGGTGTGTACTGTACTGTACTGTACTGTAGTGTACTGTACTGTACTGTCTAGATGTGAGACCTGGTACCAGTGGATGGTTTACAGACTGCTCTACATGAACCCAACTGTTAAAGGAACAATTCATTCACAAAATGATTAATTGATTGCAAGTTGATAAATTAAATGATTGTTTTGATCAATTAGTTGATTTTTTAGTCATTTAATTGATTTTTATTTTTTGATTTATTTTTCGACCAATTTATCGAGTTTTTGTTCGACTGATGGATTAATGATTGTTTTAATCAACTAAGATGTTTCTCTTAATTTACCTTGATTACTTAATCATTTTATTGTTTATTTAATTTACACTGTACACAACATATTTTTAAATCAAATTGAAATGAATTGATCTGAAAATACAGGTTATGATCTCAGTATTTACGCCCAGCAGGCAATGGACAGGTAATTCATTGTAATGTTTAATAAAGTAATAATCTCTGTTTATCGGTGTGTACGTTGTCTGTCCTTTTGGATGTCCGATCATAACTCAGGAACACCTGGACCGATTCACTTCAAAACAAGATGAACAAAGATGAACAAGATGAACAAGATGAACAAGATGAACAAGATGAACAAGATGAACAAGATGAACAAGATGATGATCAAGATGAACAAGATGAACAAGATGAACAAGATGAACAAGATGAACAAGATGAACAAGATGAACAAGATGATCAAGATGATCAAGATGAACAAGATGAACAAGATGAACAAGATGAACAAGATGAACAAGATGAACAAGATAAACGAGATGAACAAGATGAACAAGATAAACGAGATGAACAAGATGATCAAGATGATCAAGATGATCAAGATGATCAAGATGAACAAGATGAACAAGATGAACAAGATTAACAAGATACAAAAGTTCTGATCTCTGAACATGGATTAGAAGAAAAAAGTTGTAAATGTACATTTGTTTCAGTCTTTGTGAACGTAATTTAAAGTGACCCTCTATGGAAAGAGTGACATGTACCATTCACAACGCTGCCCTGAAAAGTTTTGTTTGAACAAGGATGAATAAATAATATCCGTTATTTTTTTTTTAAACTGATAATTTTTTCTATGGAATCTGTTCAAAAACTACTTTCTCTTCCTAATTACTCCTCAGATAAAGGTTTCAAGCGTACCGTTGTGAATCAGTCCTCCCCCCTCGTACAGGGTGTCCCAAAAACAGGAATTCAGTGACGAATTGAATATCGTCTTTGTTATGAATTAGTATTGTAATACCTAATTTCAAACCCATAATATTATTATGTCTGCTAGAGTTTATTTTACGAAAAGGGTAAAAGATGTGTAAAGATGTGTCTATAATGTCTCCGCAAGATTGACATGTTTGTATACTGCAATTTTCTTGTTTCACTAAGTACAACCGCTTGCAGTCAAAACATAAACAAACAAAATGTGAACATTGCAGACGAAACTCTTACAGATTACAGCTTTCTCAGTAGGTATCACTATACTAAATCAAAGAATTATTTAAAAGACGAAATCGAATTCGTCACTGAATTCCCATGTTTATTGGGACACCCTGTATAATGAAGGGTCACTTGATATTACTTTAAAAAATGAATGTTGAAGAAGAAATTTTATTTAAACATTTTACTTCTGATATTTTAGATTTGGAGGTTTGCAGTCGATGACTAGCTTGGATTCAGTTCTTCTTGGTATCATAGAACTAGATATTCCAGAGGTATTTGCGGACTCATTGCCCTATTTTTATGTTGATTTTTTTATTGTTAGGTGTTTTCTCTCTCACGGATCGGGAGTTAAGTGTTAAATATCCAACATAACGTTGAAAAAAAATAATCAAGACGATAACATGTAAATCTGCTTAATTACTAAACTGTAAATCAAATTTCCGAAACTGTTGGAATAAACGTTGAACAGTGCAGTCCTGCATCAAAATGAAATAGATCTTTAGCAATGTTGGTTGGTTGATTGATTAATTGATTGATTAATTGAGTGATCAATCGATTTATTGTTTTATTAAGTATATAATTAATTGATTAATTGATCAAATACATTAATCAATAGATTGATTTATTGAATACATTGATTAATTTATAGCTTGATAATACAATGATTGATTGATAATGCATTGATTGATTTATTTAAAATATATATATATTTATATATCGATTGAATTTTGCCTAGGTTATCAGAGAGCTGTGTTTGACCTTGGATAATTTCTGGTTTCCCGCTCATCTTCTTGATCTCCTCCAGCACACAGGTTGGTTTCCCGTTCATCTTCTTGATCTCCTCCAGCACACAGGTTAGTTTCCCGCTCATCTTCTTGATCTCCTCCAGCACACAGGTTGGTTTCCCGTTCATCTTCTTGATCTCCTCGAGCACAAAGGTCCAGTTTAAAGGGACTGTTAACGTACTTTGAAGCGACTATCCATCAATAGAGTGATATGTGTGATTCACAACGGTACCTTTTAAATCTTTGCCTGATGAAGAATAAATAAGATATCCATGCTTCAACTTTGATTATTTTAATTCTGGCTTCTTGAATGTTTCTTACGGATATCTGCTACAGAAACGACGAAGTAAATTTTCAGAATTAAACTCTTTTCTAGCTTGATAAATGAATTTTTCTTCCTCTTTTATTTAATTACTGATCAGATAAAGGTTTCAAGGGTAACATTGTGAATTGGGCGTGCCTGTCTTCAAATGTGGCGCTCCATGTCCGAGTTGTTTACTTATTTCTCTTATTGACAGACCCCTTATAAAGAGACTTTTAACATACTCACCTTTTTTTGCATGCGCGTAGGTTTTTTAATTACTTTGAACCTGAGGACTGAGGAGTGTATTTTTTCAAGAAATAATGATAAATTGGAAGTCTAAAAGGAAGTTTTTTTTACCCTTTTTCCCCCTTTTTTCCCTCATTAAAAGTACAAGAATACCGTTTTTATCAATTTTTTAAAGTTACTTTCACTACTTTCAATACTTTTACTACGGATTGCGATGAAGGGAGATAATCTGACTTATAATCTCGGATTAATGGTTAAAGTATTTTTTATTATTATGTATTGTTATTAATTGTTAATGTTTAGGGGTATTGAGTACAGAATCTAGGAATAGTTCTCTTGGCGCAGGTCTCAGGTAAGCCTATGGGTTAAGAAGCGCGGGGGGGGGGGTATTGATTACATAAATAGAGCTTGTTCCGTATCAAACTTACGTATTAACTTTGTCCGTCATAAGGACATACTTTAAGGGACGATAGTTTGGCCCCTAGGTGTCTCACGTGAGTATCTTATCTGATAGATTGCTAGTTAACACGGTAGACATCTGGTGGAAAAAACACTATTTTCAATGTTATGGTTTTTCTCAAGGGTATTATGCCCAGTGGCAACTTCCCAGATGTGCAATATCCCAAGTCTGGCCTAGCCGTAGCACTCGCTCGGCTTCTAGTATGTTCTAGTAGCAAAGCTCGGCCATTTAGCCCATCCTAGCCGCAGAGCTCGACCCTCATTGCGGCGCCTCAGAAGGCCTAAACCAACATTCGGGAAGCTGCCGCTTGGGAAATTGAACATGTGAAACGTCGCGTAGAGAAAATGCCTAACACTGTATTTTCAATTCTTTGAAAAAAAAGTTTTTGATAAAATTTTTTTTTCAATACATTTAGTAACCGAAGAATGAGTAATTGCAAATGTAATGAGAGTATATGTGAGGTCGAGGAGAAGGATGAATAGTCTCTGAAACTACGAACATGTGGATTTATGTAATCTTGTTAGTGGATTTCTTCCTTGATGAGGAAGACGGCTTTGGCTCGGCTACAATTTAATGATTTTGTCTTCCAGGGAGTTCCTGGTTCTCGACTACGCGACCTGTTTGATGTCTCACAACTCACTCTGGCAGCTTGGAGTCCTGTACTTCGACCATTGTCCTGTTCAGGTCAGTATTTGTATTTTCCTGTTCAGATGTTTGTCCTGTTTCCATCTTTATCTGTTCTGTTCAACAGTACACTGGATGCCTCTAAAACCCTTAATTTAGTAGTTTCATCTTTAGGTGGAAATGTGGTTAGTCCCGTCCCCAAAACTCTGATTTCATTTGATTTATTTGATTACTACCGTTTGATCAGTAATATCTATCTGAGGCTCCAGCTACCACACCCTGTAGTTAACTCCATGCATGCGGATTTTTGATGTGAATAATGAAAATCGTACGATCCCAGAGTAATAGGGTCGTTTTTTTTACATCTGTTTGTGACGTAATAGAACAACTCAAGATATAGTTATATTTTACACAAATAACACTGAAGGGACTGTACGTGTAATTTCAAGTGACCATCCATGCTAAGATGACAATGCCTGATTAACATCTGTACCCTTGAAACCTTTATCCGATTAATAATGTGGAAGATATTGTAGAGTTTAGAGTAGATAAAGTGTTTCATTCTGATAATAGAGACAGTTTACGATTCTTTTGTAGAGGAACCACAACTAAAATAAACAGTTTTCAAATTAATAAACATTGATATCTAATTCATACTTGATCAGACAAAGCTTGTAAATGGTACCGTTGTGAATCGTGAAATGCCAGCTTTTCATAGAAAGTATCTTGAAATTACGCTTACAGTCCCTTTAAACATCTTCATCATAATATTTATTATTCAACTGTTAACAGGGAAAGCAGAGACTAGAGGCAATGTTGGAAAGAATCCCGTTAACCAGTGATTACAAGGTTAGATAAGAAATTGAGTAACTAGTGAATTGATTATTCTATGGAAACCGACCCAAAGGGTATCCGACCGGACCTAAGTATCGTGTAGTTTTTCAGATAATCTCAAGTCATTTTTACTCCCCGCGTGTTTTTTCTACTCCCCATTATAACTTTGTCTAACCCCTATTGATGCATTGTTTGGCTAATTCTGATTGATTAATTGATTTATTTACATTTAAGGCTGGTAAGATCCTTGAAATTGCCGGAGAACGCGGTCTTCATACAATCATCACTTCAACATGTAAAGTAAGTTTTATAACTCATTGATTGATTGATTGATTGATGGAATGATCGATGAATGCTCTTTAAAAAATCCGGCAAAAATAAATTCTTTAAATTAATATTTTAAAAATAAAACTAATGGTATGAATTCATAATAAATAACGCTTGAAATTTATATAAATAAACATAATCCTGAATCCTGATAGTTATTTGTTTACTTTATCTATTCATTTCATTTATATCAAGTTAAAACTCAACAATCTTGTTCTAACATTGTATTCATAAACACAGTATTTCATGCTGGATTCAATCTTCAGTATTTATCACATATTATTTGCGGATTTCAATCTTCAGTATTTATCACATATTATTTGCGGATTTCTAAGAGATTTTCAATTTTAATGTTAATATTAATATTTGTTTTTGTATCTTATTAACTTGCGACGCTAAAGTTATTTATTTCCCCTCCAATTCTTGAATTTCATTTTTCACATAGATTTTTCATATAGATTTGAGCGGAGCTGTAACATTTTTTAAGGGTTTCCTTCTGTAAGTGTATATCATGTCGTGCCGGTACGACTATAGGCCTACTTAGCCCAGCCCTTAAAAGCTGATAAGCAGTCTGTACATATCTAGTCTGTGGGACCGTTCATTGGTTAGAGTTATGTGAGGGGAACGTAAAAGCTAATTTTCGATTTTTTCTAAAATATTAGTTTTACTTTTGAGATATGGCTAATTTTTAACGTAAAAATCGGCTTTATTATGTATAAATATTACAAATGGACAGCTAGTTGGCTTCTTAGTTTGCCTTTTTGTTTTATTGATTGATTGTATAGTTGATTCTTGGTTGTTCGACTGATTGTTTGATTGATTTAGGTCCTGTTCTCCTCTATCCAGAGTTACCAACTGCTCCAGTGTTTACAGGTAAAAATACCAGTGCTTAGGATCCATTTAATTTTGATGCGGATCCGGATCCGGATCCTAAGGACTGAAAAATACCACAAAAAATTACGAGCTTCAGAGGCGTATTCAGGGGGGCCATAAGGCCCCCCCCCCCCCTCCATGGATCTGTGAAATCTTCCAGGGGTTTTGGGGCCCCAACAGATGCAGAGCCCCCAGGGACAGAAAACGCCCCTGACTAGCTCAGTGCAATTAACATGATGATTTTATTCACCTTAAATCATTAGCTTTATAGGGATAAAAGTTTTTATGCGTAAATGCTTTTCAAGTTTTACGAGCTATCAATATTTAAACTGAAAAAAGCATATTCTTTTTAATTCAAATTTTAAAAAATGTAAATTTTTTCTTCTAAAAATTTTACATTTTAATCAATTTAAATTGTTTTGACGGATCAACTTGGTAAATTTTTGCACAATTAAGACTTTCGAAAATTTTCAAGTATGTGTGAAATTTTTGTTGTTTGTCTTTTACGAGATTTCAATCTTTTTTATCTATTTAATTTACATATCTATGCTAAATATTAGAATTAACAAGTTTTACTTTTGATAATTTTAACTGTAATTTTCACTTTAAAAGCGAGAAAACCCCATATTTTCCCATTAAACACTCCTGATCTGCGGGAATAAAATATTTAAAATGGTATATATCCCTGTATACGTATCTATCTAAATATCTATGTATGTATCTGCCTACCTATCTATCTATCTATCTTTCACTATATTACGATAGATAGATAGATATATACATAAATACAGAGAAATATAGATATACATATACATATATAAATATTTCTCTGTATTTATGTATATATCTATCAGTGTATCTATCTATCTATATATATATATATCTTTTTCAGGAGCTGGCAGAAGACGAGAGCCTCCCCGAGAAACAGAAAGTTTTGCTCGAGGCAATTTTTCTATTTTTTATTCAATTTTCAATTTTACATTTTCGTCGTCTTTTCTTCTTGGAATAATTTTTCCTCCATAAATTATGATTAAAATATTTAAATATATGAAATTACTAAGTTGGTAATAGGATATAAACTTTTAACAAGATTTCCAGCATGTAAAACTTCTTTTTAAGTTTGCTTTGGCGGTTATTTCTGAAGAGGGCTCGAGCTATACAGAGAAAAAAAGGGAAATCGAATAAAAAAAAAACGATTTTTTAATGCGTTCGTTATTGCTTCGATTTTTGGACATATTTTCTTTCTGGGTCAAAATTTTGCATAATGTTTAATGTTTAAAATAAAAATTTTGAAATTTTTAACACCTTTCAGATTTTTGTGGAACCTCTAAAAGGAAGAGACCGGCTAGACATGGTAGTTCAGTTGGAAGTGCAGTATTTTAGAGAAATTTTTCAGGATTCATTTGAGACCTATGAGACGTATCAAATAAATTCTAAGAAATGTCTCTACAATGCTGCACTCTCAGCTCAACTATCATGTCTAGCCGGTCTCTCCCTTTAAAATCCCAAAACCTTTTTATAAACGAATCAACTTATTGCACGTCACTAGTTGATAAGGAGACATTCTGTGAAATGCATAAAAGGGCGCCAAGTCTTTTTTGTCCTTAGCTGTGCTCTAGCCTGGATTGGACTCCAGGCCGCAGCTGTGACGCTGTGCCCTGAAGGCAATCTGGGGGTTCCACTTTGGGTTCCTTTTCAGATTTACACTTGTTTTGATTTATTAGATTCAAAATAATTTTAAAAAAAATGAGTTTGTTTAAAAATAGTTAAATGTTGTGAGTAGGAGGAGGAGAAGGGGATCAGGTTGGCTATTGCTAAAAATCTGGCGCTAGCCTTGACAAAGGTAAATGGATTTTACAATCAACTAATCAATACTAGAAGATTTACAGTTGTGCTTGGATTTGGATCCGGATCCGTAGTAATTTGGCACCTTGGATTCAGATCCGTAGCAATTTGGCACCTTAGATCCGGAAACGTAGCAATTTGGCACCCTGGATCCGGATCCTTAATATTTAAGCTCCCTGGGTCCGGATCCTTAATGTTTAAGCTCTCTTGATCCGGATCCTCAATGTATAAGCACTTTGATCCGGATTCTCATTATTTAAGCTCCCTAGGTCTGGATCCTAAAAATCTTAGCTCCCTGAATCCGGATCCTAAATATTTAATATCTTTGGATCCGGATCCTCATTATTTAAGATCCCTGGTTCCGGATGATCCTTAATATTTAAGCTCTCTGGATTCGGATCCTCAATATTTAAGCTCACTGAAGCCGGATCCTTAATATTTTAGCTCCCTAAATCCGGATCCTCAATATTTAAGATCCCTGGATCCGGATCCTATATATTTAAGCTCCCTGGATCTGGATCCTCAATGCTCCCTAAACTCTACAAGAATTTAATTGAATTTCGACTTTTTCCAAAACCGACTTTTCCGTGTCGGTTATCTATCTATCTATCTATCTATCTATCTATATATCTATCTATCTATCTATCTTTTTATCTATCTATCTATCTATCTATCTATCTATCTATCTATCTATATATCTATCTATCTATCTATCTATCTATCTATCTGTTGTAAAAATTATTTTTTCTTCTACCGAAGTTAGGTATTTTGTAAGGGTTTTATTCGCCGAATTGGGGAAAATAAATGATTTTTGGATAAAAGTATCGAAAAAGTCGTATATATCGTTGATGACATTCGACAACTGTCCTAAATTTAGAATTCCGTAATAAATTAAAATTGAAAACTTCTTTAAATCCTGGGTTGAACCATTTTCAAGATTTTTTATCAGAATAGTAAAATTGAGGAAAAATTCTTTTCTCAACGATCTTTGAAGAGATTTTTTATTGTTTAAAATTTACAAGTTCTATATTTTTTTGTATTTAAAAACATTTTATACATTTAAATTTTAATTTTAGGAGGGTGACACCAGTAGTTCAGTTTATTAGACCTCTTAAACCGATGGAAAACTTCTAATCTCCTCTCTGCTACCTGACATTTTTTAATCGTGATGTAATAAACAATTTTGATGTAAGATTTGAAAAATAAAATGTTAAGATTTCAGAAATAAAATGGCGGATCTCGGAGACTGCAACGACACAGAGAAAGATAATGCTGGAAGTTGGGAAGGGTTTATATGTATGGAACCAGGGTGTGTAAATATACATTATACAATTAAGATTTATTTATAGATTTTTATATTTGATGTGTTTTTTATGTAACGGGCCCACAACTCAAATATAAGGTCTTTTAGATTTATCAAATTTTACAAAAAAATCTGATCAATTTATGTTTTTCCTTGACCAAATATTGTATAATTCATATTAAGAACTAAATATGTTTATGCAAGAGATACATAGCAAAAATTGTCTTGGTTTGTAGATAATTTAGCTTTATGCGCAGCATATATCTTTATGGGGTTTTGAATGAGAGGCGAAAGATAAAAACTATTTTTCCAATTTTAAGCCTAAAAAGGCCATAATTTTAACAAATACGGGTCGATTTTGTAGAAAATAGTAAAAACCCAACAGGTGCATTTACAAAACGAATTACTAAATCTGTTTATCATGACTTTAAGATAATTTACAGATGTTTTGAAAACTCTAAATCTAAATCTGACCATGGGAGAAACTTAGATGGGCTTTTTGCTTATATTTCTTTACTTTCAGACAATGTCATGATAATTTTAAGGAGCTGTCAACTTTGAGAACGCTTTTTAAATATCCTGAAAATGTCTTTGTTTTCATTTCTGAAATTGATATTCTAGCTTCGCTGTAATTTTAAAATTTGGTTTGGTTTGATCTGATCTGATATCTGATCTGATCTGATATCTGATCTGATATCTGATCTGATATCTGATCTGATATACTGAATGAGCGTGTGAATTTTTTTTTACCAAGATTTGATAACTGAGATTTGTTACTTCTAAAAACGACTAGTTTTATGTTTAGCGCCGACAAATAATTGTAAATGGTTTAAATTCACTTTTGACCGAAAGTTACGTTGCATATTTTTTAGAATATTGTTTCCTTGTTCAAATTTTAATAATCTGATCTATGATGTGGACGATAATGTTTTATTTTCACCTTGAAACTTTCCATTGTTTTTTAAGTAGAACTGTTCAAGTCACTTTGTAGAGAAACCACAATTAAAAATAATCAATTTTCAAGTAGAAGATTCTTGATATCTCTAGCACTCTTGATCAGACCAAGGTGTGAAGGGTACAGTTGTGAATCAATCAAACATGACAGACTGTAAATAAAGATTCCCATAAAATCACGCCTCCTACAGTTCCTTCAATTATATTTCAGACTCCTTGAGCTGGATTCTAGAGATGTTCGAAGTCAGGGATTTCTGCCGAGCAGACCTCCAGGTTTATTCTTGTTTTTTTTATCAGAATAGTTTTTAAAAGAGGCTTAACTAGTNATGTACAGGGGTGGGAGATAATAACTACATAATGTACAGGGGTGGGAGATAATAACTACATAATGTACAGGGGTGGGAGATAATAACTACATAATGTACAGGGGTGGGAGATAATAACTACATAATGTACAGGGGTGGGAGATAATAACTACATAATGTACAGGGGTGGGAGATAATAACTACATAATGTACAGGGGTGGGAGATAATAACTACATAATGTACAGGGGTGGGAGATAATAACTACATAATGTACAAGGGTGGGAGATAATAACCACATAATGTACAGGGGATACAGGTTGGAGTGTTCAACATTCAGCACCATGGCAGAGTGAAAAGCTGGTCTTAGGTGAAGAAAATCCATTCAAAGGTAGAATTTATATAAAGTTTTTTTTTATTTATAAATTCAGAGAATTCGGTTTTATTAGCTGTTGTTCATTGTTGTCATTATAGAAGCTGAAGTCAGAAATTTTTCCGTTGTAAATTTCGGGATAAATATTGTAAATTTCGGGATAAATATTAATCTCCATGTCAAGGATTTATCCAAAAGTGTCCAAATTGGATATCGAGATTAAGTGTTCAAGATTAACGTCGCCTCACAAATAAATAAGTTTCGACCTCTGTTTAGATTAAAAAAGATTTACATTAAAAGTTGATTTTAACGTCCAACTATTTTTTTTGGTGATTTAACGAAATTTTTTTTTAGTTTTTTACATCTGGGAGAACAATTTGAATTACGTTGCCAATCCCTTTATTTCAGGGTTGAATATATCTCCGACTGATTATTTAAACCTGCACCCTGACCGGCAGCCCTGCCCTGTTTGCTGTAAATCCCGGAAATATTTCTGCTACACCTGTTATGTACCTGTACAATGCCTCAAGCAGTATGTACCACACATAAAGCTTCCAATTAAGGTGATTTTCAAAATTAAACTTGGGTGTGTTTGTACCGAATATTTTCTTGAATACCCCCCTCCCCTTCTATGGAAAATTTTTTTTTCCAAAAAATTAATATATGCTTTTTAATTTATTTTACGGGTTTATTCGCTGAATTGGGAGAAATTTATGATTTTTAAGGAAAAATCAATATATTTTTGGGTTAAAAAAAACATTTTTTTAAATTAAAGAAGTTGCCTTTTGATGTACAATATTTCAATTTTTCCTCCCAAATCAGCAAAAAAATAATGATAAAATTCGGAGGCGTAGAGTAAAACAGAGAATAGAACATAGTAATTGTACTAAATGGGTCAACTTAGACGTTAGGTACTAATTTCCAAGGTGACTTTATCACAAGGCCAAGTTATAAAATTTGAGGAAATACTTAAACCATTCAAGTTAGTTTTTATTGATTTTTGTTAAATTATTTTCTTAAATTTTATTAAATTAGATAGATATAGTAAAGCATGCCCGTGAGGTTGACGGAAAATCTACTGCCGTCCACGCACCAATCATAGGTAATATTATAATAATATAATAATATAAAGATAATGATAATGAAAAGAATAATGATAATGATAATGATAATGATAATGAAAATNTAATTTTCATCAAATTGCACTCAAGGTAAATCAACTTAATTTTCATCAAATTGCACTCAAGGTAAATCAACTTAATTTTCATCAAATTGCACTCAAGGTAAATCAACTTAATTTTCATCAAATTGTACTCAAGGTAAATCAACTTAATTTTCATCAAATTGCACTCAAGGTAAATCAACTTAATTTTCATCAAATTGTACTCAAGGTAAATAAACTTTTTGGATATAATTAGGTTTCCCAGGTTAAATCATCCATAATTAAGGTTTCTAGACTAGACTTGATTTTATAATATAACATATACTTGATTCCACTATAAAGTTTCTAGACTAGACTTGATTTTATAATGTAACATATACTTGATTTAACTATAAAGTTTCTAGACTGGACTTGATTTTATAATGTAACATATACTTGATTTAACTATAAAGTTTTAGGCTAAACTTGATTTAATAATGTAACATATACTTGATTTAACTAAAGTTTCTAGATTGGACTTGCTCTTATGATATAACATATACTTGATTTTACTAAACAAACCAGGCAAAGGATTAAGCTAGAATTAATCAAATTACATTTAAATAATTAATAATAAATAGAAAGAAACATTTGCTAGGAAGGTTTTCGTCATTTAATTTTTGCCTGACCCAAGGTGAGGCATGGCTTAAATTTGGTCGTGTGGCTGGAACTTCGCAATTTGCAAAATCAATTGTTAATGCACAGTTATATTAAAGAGAAGTCCAGATTGAGAAACCGGGACATGGAATGGACTTAAACCTCCAATCCACTACTGGAGTCGAGCGTCCATACGTAATTATTGGAATTTTCTTTCCGTATCTTATCATTAAAAAAGAAAAAGTCTGAAACAAATAAAAACTTGCACTTTTAAACGCAGGTATGGACATAGTGGGAGAAAAAAATTCACATTATTCATTGTTATATTACAAACGTTTTAGAAAAAATAGAATAGCGTGTTCTAAAAAATAATCAAACATTTTTTTCGGGTGTGCGGTGTGAATAACTTAGTTATTTTCAACGTAAAATTGTATGAAAAGGAGATGAAAGAAATTTTTCACATTTTTCTAAAACATTATTTTTTAGGCTGAGTATAAAGGAGAATATGACGACATGTTGTTTTTCTTCAAGTTTATGTACGAGAAAATACATGAACTGTACGACCATAACAATCTCAGGCAGATAATTGTACAGTACCTTTAAGATCTGAGCTGTTCAGTCTTATATTGTGGATATCGAGATCTCGATCTTTTATTAATCTGCAGATTAATTTAATCTTGATTCGAAATCCTGCATGGTAATCGTACCCAGTCAGGGGTTGAAGGGAACTTTGATTTTTGGTGGAGTAACTAAAACGAATACATGGAAAGGAATAGTTTTTATAGATCCTCAAATTAAAAATTCCCACAGTGAACATCGAGATGATGAGTATCCTGTAATGATGACTAACCCAGCTCAGAAAAAACAAAAACAAATTTTGAAAGCTAAACCGGTTTTTGAATTTTAATAACTGGTTTTGATTTTGACTTCGAGTAGAAATTAACCGTAACGTATAAACTAATTAAGATCTTCGCTCTCTAGTGTACAGCTGTACATTGTAAGAATGTACACTATACAACTGTACATACACTGTGTACAGAAAGAAGATTAAACTCAAATGTACAGAAACATTGTACAATTTATCTGTGATCTAGAGCGTACACCCGGGACTGATAACAGATTGAAAATATTCTTTAAACTTGTGCTTGGAAGAATATTGATTAAAATTGAAATTATTTAAGTGTAAACTGTACAACACTTACACAACTATACACTGTGCAGTGTGCACTGTACACTATTAATATGTAAATTGTACAGTGTACACTTACACTTGACAATATGTTCTGTATTTAACTTCATTTAAGTTTCTTTATTTATTTCATAGTACCATTGGCGATTAAAAATGGTTCCCATTTTAAGTACCTACATTCTGATATATATGAGCATTTAGATATCAATATTCAATATTTCAACTTTCAAGCTAAAATAAAAATTAAAATTATTCAAATTTCTACTGTGATAAAACCATAATAAATTACAGTGATAACCACAAAACTTTGAAATAGGAAGACGACTTTATAGCAATACTTAAGGATATTTGATGTTTTTATAAAGCTAATAGTTTACAAGACACTTATGACGTCACTGATTAAGTAAAATAAGTCTGTTTCACACTGCAAAATTGCTGTGTCCATGCTTTTTGGACTTTTTGAAATCATAACTTGAGTCTAAAAGTCGTCTTCCTGTTTCAGAGTTTTTTTTGTAATCACTGTACTTTTTGGTTTTCAGTTTGTTATCTAATGATATTTCTTGATGGGTTCATTTTGATTTGATTTCAGAAAAGTTTTTGTTTATAAATTTTCAAAAATAAAATGTCTGACAAGGAGGTTAAAATCTACAGGTTGGATGAAGTGAAGGAGCACAACATTAGCAAGGGAGAAAAGAAATCTGTCTGGACGATTATTCACAATAAGGTTGACACCATTTTTTTTATTTTTTTTTAACAACAATTTACAAACAAGCGTTGTCAAACTAAAGCGATCATTATTGAAATCTTTATTTTGAACTTTAAATGCATATAAAGAAGATTTTTTGGTTTTAACGGAGTGACCGTCTATGTAAGGTAGTTGAACTGAGGACGCAGTGTTGGGGAAAACTTCTTAAGGATTCATTTAAGACATATAAAACTTTTTAAAGATCTGTAAATCCTGAGTTGAGCGCAAATTCTACGTTCTAAACTCCTACTTTGGAGGTGAATACGTTTTCAGAATTAGTTTTTTTTAATTATTAAAAATTAAAATTAAAAGAAATCCAGTTAAATTTAATAAAATGCAGGATAACTAAAATCGTTTAATGATTTGGTCAATTAATATCATTTAATGTGGTTAACAAAAAGATTAATTATCCGAATATTTTCAAAATGGTGATTCAATTTTTAATGAATTATAATCGCATGGAGTTATCATACAACTTGTATTCATTGTATGCTGTTCTGCGCGGCATGCAACTTTCCCCTAATTTAACATCAAATAGATGGCATAATTGATGAAAATAAATCCTAATTACGAGTTAAACTAAATTAGTTAAGAAAGAATGTACTTCAAATATTTTTGCCCCAAATAAATCATTTTCCCTTTTTTGGAGGGATTTTAATTTATTCTTGTCTTTTTGTGGTGGGTGGAAATATATTCTTTTTTTTAAAGGTTACTTTGTGCGGAAATGTACCAATAACATAATCTCTTCCATTTTAAGGTGTACGATGTAACCCCGTTCCTTGATGAGCACCCTGGTGGCGAGGAAATTCTTCTCGAGAATGCCGGGATCGATTCTTCAGAGAATTTCGAGGATGTTGGACACTCAAGCGATGCCCGTGAAATGCTGGAGGAATATTATATTGGAGAACTGCACGAAGATGATAAGGTTAGTAAGATGAATTTAAGAGACTGTGAGCGTATTTTCGAGTGACCCTTCTTTTATAGAATTTATGTATTAACAACGGTGCCCTTTAAACCTTTTCTGATCAATGATTAATTCGATATCATTGTTTTTCTAGCTAGAAATAAATAATTTTCAATTTTGGTTTCTCTTTAAAGTGACTTGAGATTTATGCAATAGTAAATAGATGGATATTTTCATAATTTTAACAAAATATCTTTTATTATCTTGTATTTTATTTTATCCCACACAAACATGCCACCACTCCCCTCCCCATAACTCCTTTCCTAGTTGCGCTCCTGGCCAATTTATATATTTAAAGATATTTAAAGACGTTTAAATATATTCAGTTTTTTTTGCAGAATTAACGACATTTTGATTTTATTACCCCTTTATTCTTATGCCCCCCTTAAATGTTAGCTTAATTTTAGGTTGAAACTGAGAAAGCTAAAGCCTGGGGTCCTGGACCTGTCCCTGTAGAAGAATCATCTTGGATTACAACATATCTTATTCCTATCTCTGTAGCCCTTGGATGCGCAATTCTTTACAGATACTTTATGCACTAGAACAGTGATCAGGGACGCCATCTTAGTCCATGGCGATATAACCACGTGTTAATCAGCTGATGTCTAAATATGGCGGACCGTGTTTTTTCCCGGATTTTTACAAGGGAAAATTACATTTATTATTAGTCTGGGTAGTTTATTTAACGAATTTTTTAATTGAATTTTGTAAGGTGCAGAAGGAGGCATAATTAAACTATACTTTACGTTTATTTACTCGGGAAAATTCGACTGTGGCATGACCATTTTTATTATCTATGCATATCTATTATTGGTTCCCCTATAAAAAATATGAACACTTCCATAAATAAAGGTGTATAGTGTACACTGTACTTTAAAATTGCATTAATGTCGTCTCCTTATTCCATAGTGTTCTGGTTCTCACTGTATTTTATATTTTACAATAATTACAAAATAACTGATTTGTCAGTTAAAATATAACTTGTATAACATCTATAACTATATGTAACTCTAAATGTGTAAAATTTCATTGTTTTAGATTGGTGGTGGAATTGATTGTTCGCCTTAATTAGGTAGGCGATTATATTAATACGATGAAGACGACTTTGATTTCAATTTTGATTTATATTCAGCTTTTAAACTGTTTGAATAAACAATAAAATTAAAACAAATAGAAGCTGTCAATTAAAAAAGCTTCTCTTTAATTACCTCTAAATTTGTAATTCTAAGCTTGTTAACAATAAAAACCTTAATAAAAAGTCGTCTTCATTATATTGGAATGATCGCCTACCACCGTAATGTATATATATATATATATTAAGAAATTTATTTTCAGAAATATTTATAATGCCTGGTTAACAGATCTGATTTGTCAAAACTTGGAGGTAATGCAAAACACGAATCCCCAAAACTAACATTAATCCAGTAAATTATAGTCATTAACAATAGTATTTATATATGAAGAAGATTTGTTTGTCAATCAATTTCTTTTTGGAGACATTAACGACAATTGTTGAAGAATAAATTTTTTAACGACAAAGATTAAATTATTTTTGAAAATTGTAAGCGAAGGTTTATTTATTATTCAAACGAACTGCTCACGTAATTTTAGGCGACCTTTTTATTCCGAGTTTAAAACTGTAGCCTTTGAACCTATATCTGATGAAAAAAATATGAAAAAGTCGTTTTTCTTTCGTTTTTAGAGATATATTTAGTCCATTTCCTTGCTTGTCCCTCCTTCATGATGCTCAAGACATTTAGAGAAAGAACCGCAATTGAATTGATTTTCCAGAGATATTTTTTCTCAGACAAATGTTTAAAGAACTATTTTGCCCCTTGAAACTACTGAGACAGTCTCTAATTTATCCCATTTTTTCAGCTTCTCTCACGTTCGTGCTTGGAGATAAATGATGGAGGGTGAGTTGAAACGGAAATATCCATGTGATCAGTGTGAGTACATCTCAACCAGACCCTCCTATTTGAAAGCGCATAGAAACGCTAAACATCTTGGTATTAGATCATATCTCTGTGACCAATGTGAGTATTCAACTACCAAATCTTCATATTTAAAACTACACAAGGACTCAAAACACTTGGGGGTTAGATATCCATGTGATCAATGTGAATACGCCGCGGTCAGACCTTCGGACTTGAAAAAGCACCATGAGCACAAGCATCAAGGAGTTAAATATCCTTGTACTCAGTGTACGTATGTAGCAACCACCTCATCGGATCTCAGAAGACACACAAACAGTATACATCTAGGAATAAAATATCCCTGTGACATGTGCGATTATCAAGCTTCTGGGGTGTTTTACTTAAAAAGACATAAACAGATTAAACACCAAGGAATAAGATATACTTGCGACGAGTGTGATTATTCTGCAACCAGATTATATATGTTAAAGAATCACAAAGACAGTAAACATCTTGCTAACATGAAATTTCATTGTGACCAATGTGTGTATGCCACAACTACATCATCAGCGCTAAAGGGACACATACGAAGTGTTCACCTTGGGGTAAAATACCCCTGCAACTTCTGCGAACATGCTGGATCCTCAAGATCAAATTTGTTTGCGCACATCAGGAGAAAGCATAAAGAAATGGCCGAGGCTATGAAGCAGTGTGAAGAGGAAGCGACTGAAAAGGCTAGAATTGAGGAGAACGAACGATTAAAACTTAATAATATTAAATCAGATCTGGTCAAGACGGAACCTACCCTTCAATCCTCTCAACCAGAGTCTGAACCTACTAATCCTGAACCTCAACAAGCTGAACTTAAGCCTGATCCGATTGAACTTAAATCTGGTCACATTGAACCTAAAGCTGAACAAACTGAACCTCAATGTTTGACCTGTGAACCTGATTTTGTAAACCTTGAACCTGGTAAATCTGAACCTGGATTACAGGAGCTTGAGAACAAAAAGGAGAAAGATCGGGATACTGAAAGATCGTCTGATCGAAATTCAGAAAGATCGTCCTTTGACGAAGAGTTTTCTATCAAAGTAGAAGTCGACGAAGACGATTGTTTAGATTACAATTAAGTTCGAAATTCGATTTATTTGTAAAAAATATATTTATATGTTTTAGGTTTTTTATTTTTAAATTAGACATACGTCAAAGTTCAATTCCTCTTATTAGTCATAAAGATTTGAAAATGTTAATGATTTTGTAAACGTTATCACATTATTAAATATTAGTACAAATAGTCATTAAAAGTACGTTCAGTGTGTAATAATGTACATGTCGAATTATAAATTGTTTTATTAATTTTATTTATAATTGTATAAAGTTCAAATTTTTTGTTTTAAATCTTGAGTATATTATTTATATTATTATTCTCAACGTTGAGGTGGATACTTGTAAATGGACGTAGTTACTTAATCTCGTTCTATTCTCGCGGATAAATTACTTAATATAAAGGTCCAATTGCTGAATCTCATTGCGAGAATAGAACTAGATCAACGCATTCTGTCATTAAACGTTCATTATTTATAAATTTGAAGTAAAGTCTTGTCTATTCTCTAGTTCAATAATTATTTAGTTTTTCAATAAATTTTCTCTTGGTGTGTTTTTATGTAACTTAAAATATCCTAAAAATTAAGTTTTCAGAGAAGATGGTTCAGTTATGGAAACAACGCAAAAGCTGAAAAGGTCGAGACTAAATGGTTAGATCCATCTCTTCTATTTTCCTTACCACAGTGTGTCTCAAAAAACATGGAAATTAAGAACGACCTGAACATTTTTTCGATCTTACTTTCACTGTGAACCACTGTTTTTATGAAAAAAGGGTCTTCTTTGTTTTCCTTTGTTTTATTGCATACTATGTGACGATTTTGATAACTCGCGTTAGTGCCAATATATTCGCAATGATCACAAGGAGATCGAAATCCCTTCTTTTTAATCTAAATTTCTTTAAAAGGGTTAAATGTCGTCTTCATCTACTGCTTTATTCTGGGGGTGGTCCCAGGAATAAAGCAGTTTTCAAAGAGTTGAAAAATGCAGTGGTCCAAACGTAAAGTTATAAAAGACGACGTTTTTTTCCAAAAATGAAAAAATATAACGACCTTTTATAAATAATAAAGAAAAATTGAGAAATGAAGAAAACTTTTTTGAGAAATTTATGTGGTTCGCAGAAAAAAAGTTTATTTTAAATAAAATGAATAACTAAGATGCAGGGGTCCACATAAAAGTGAAAATAATACGAGCTTTGTTAAAGATACAATGGTCTGCTTAAAAAAGTGGAAAACGAAAACGATATTTGCAAAAAAGGGAAAATAAAGATGTCATTTGTTCAAGGAAACTTAGGATCACATAAAAAGTAGTAACTAAGACGATATTTGTTAAAAAATACAGTGGTCCACCAATAAAGAAAACACCATACCAAAAAAATGAAATATGGCCGACATTTGTTAAAATACAGTGGTTCACAAAAAAATAACGGGGAAACAAAATGTCCTTTGGTAAAGAATGATGAGTACGCAGAAAACAGTGGGAAACAAAAAATTAACGTGGTTGAAATAAGTTTTTTTAATTATTGAAAATAAAACCGTTATTAATTGATATTCTCTATTTTATATTTGCACAAAATTTTTTCAAAAGTTATTGAATTTTTCTTTTTGTTACAGGCTTGATCGTTGATCATCATTCTGTAATCCCAGGCGGAAAGAAACGCTCGAGGACTCGAAAGATGAGTAAAATGAAGAAAAAGAGAGTAATGAAGCCTGATCGCAGGTTTCCATGCGATCTTTGTGAGTTTTCTTCAACACGACCCTCGTATCTGAAAATACACAAAGATTCCAAACATTTAGGGATTAAAGCTTTTACATGTAAACATTGTGAGTTTGGTACAACCAAATCTTCATATTTAAAATTCCATGAAGAATCCAAACATCTTGGAGTTAGATATCCATGTGACACGTGTGATTTCGAGGCCGTGAGTACCTCTGAGTTAAAAAAGCACACAGAGATTAAACATGAAGGTGTGAAGTATCTTTGTGATCAATGTGAATACGTAGCGTTTACAGCTGCGGCTGTTAAGTGTCATACAATGAGTAAACATTTAAACGTTAAGTACCCGTCAGATGAGAAAAGATTTTCTTGTGATAAATGTGAATATTCTACATCAAGACAATCTTATTTAAAACTGCACATTGATGCTAAACATTTAGGAATCAAGTCGCATTTGTGTGATCAATGTGGTTTCTCCACAACTAAGGCATCTTACTTGAAGTTCCACAAGGAGTCAAAGCATTTAGGAGTCAAATACCCGTGTAATGATTGTGATTATGTTGCGACTAGAGGAACAGATTTGAAAACTCATCGGGAAAACAAACATGATGGTGTGCAATATATGTGTGATAAATGTGAGCATGTTACAACTACTTTAGCACTCTTGAAGAAGCATGCGAAGAGAAAGCATGAAGGAACTAGATTTCCATGTGAGTTCTGCAAATATTCAGCAGCAACTATAGAACTTCTAGATAGACACAAACAGAGAAAGCATGATAGATCAAAGACGGGTAGAAAGTATGCCTGCAACCAATGTAATTTCTCTTCAAGTCGGCCATCTTATCTAAAGATTCACATCGATTCAAAACATCTAGGAATTAAGACGTTTTCCTGTAGTGAATGCATATTTTCCACAGCAAAAGCGTCGTATTTAAAAAGACACATTGTTTCTAAACATTCAGGATCCAGTCATTCTTGTGATCAGTGCAATTATGCTGCTTCCAGATTAACTGATTTAGTAAAGCATCGTGAGCACAAGCATTTAGGAGCAAACCGGTCATGTGAGCAATGTCAGTTTGAAGCAGAAACTACAGCAGAGTTGAAGAAGCATGTTAAGAGTAAACATGGTTTATATAACACCGACACAAAACAAAAACATTCTTGTGATGAGTGTGGTTATTCCACGACAAGACAATCGTATCTCAAGGCGCACAAACATTTTGAACATCTTGGTAAAAGAGCGTTTAAATGTGATCTCTGTGAGTATTCTTCAATTAAATCTGTGAATTTAAAATTGCACAAGGACTCTGTCCACTACGGGGTGAGGTATCCCTGTGATAATTGTGAATTTACAGCAGCCCGGCAATCAGATCTAAACAAGCATCAGACGCTGAAGCATCAAGGCGTTCTGTATTCTTGTGAAACATGCGAGTTTAAGACTAACATTTCTCTACAGTTGAAAAGACACAACAAGATGAACCATCCTGAAGTCAGGTTTCCTTGCGAGTTCTGCAAGTATTCTGCGTCCAGTTCCTTGTATCTCCAGAGACACAAGGAGAGAAAGCATCAAGCTGTCAGGTTGGACAATTTTGAAATCAATTATTCAGTCACCAACATAGATATTCGTGACAATATTCGTAGTATGGATATTCATGATGATGCCCATGAAATGGATATTCAAAATGCTGCTCATAGAAAGGATAATTATGACGAACCACGTGACTTGGATATTCATGATGATGGCCATAAAATGGATATTCAAAATGATGCTCATAGAATGGATAATTATGACGAACAACGTGACTTGGATATTCATGATGATGCCCATGAAATGGATATTCAAAATAATGCTCATAGAATGGATAATTATGACGAACCACGTGACTTGGATATTCATGATGATGCCCATGAAATGGATATTCAAAATAATGCTCATAGAATGGATAATTATGATGAACCGCGTAACTTGGATATTCACCGTGAAGCCCATGATCTGGATATTGATAATGAAGCCCTTAGATTGGATATTCATAATGAAGCTCGTAGATTAGATATTCATTATAAAGTCCGTAGATTGGATAATTATGAGGCACCAAATATTATGGATATCAGTGATGCATCCCAGGGCTTGAATACTCGGCATAAAAACGTCAACCAGAATTTGCGACATGCAGATTCCCATTTTGATATCCAGCATGCTGACTCTAATTATGATTTTCAGCAATCGTTTAGAGGTGTTGGTATTCAGCACTCTGAAGCTATCCAGCATGTAGTCCAAAGTTTTGATATTCAGCATGCAACCACTACCTCAAATATTCAGCATGCATCCTCCTCTGATTCAAATACTCGGCATGCAGTTCAAAGCTTAGATATTCAGTATGCACCCACGAATTCGAATTTTCAGTATTCAGTCGAAAACTTAAATATTGAGCATGATGCTGCCAACAACATGAATATTCAGCATGTATCTACACCCTTGGATATACAGCATGCTGTTTCTGAGATGAATATTGAGCAGCATAATCCTGAATATTTTGCCACAAAATCCACAATATCTTCCTTTCTAATATCCAATACTGAAGTAATAACAGTTACAGCGTACCCCGAACCTATCTATTCCACGGCAGCTACAGCCTTGGAAACCCCAAAGAAACGTGAGAGAAAAAAATCAGATAAAATGTTTTCATGCGAAAAATGTGAGTTTTCCACAACTAAAAGCTCTTTAATGAAGGTACACAGGAATTCTGAACATCTGGGCAAAAAATCTTATCCCTGTGACCTTTGTGAATATGACACGTACAAAGCCTCGTATTTAAAAGCACATAAAGATTCCGTTCACTTTGGTGTGAGATATCCGTGTGATCAATGTGATTATAGTGCACGGCGTCTCTCGGTTTTGAAGAATCATCAAGAGATCAAGCATCTTGGAGTTAGTCATACTTGTAATCAATGTGGATATGTAGCAGTTACTTTGAAGGGACTAGAGAATCATGTTAAAAGAAAGCATAAATCCGAAGATCAACCCGAAGCTGAAAAGAGGTTTTCCTGTGATCAGTGTGATTATTCTTCAACCCGTGGTTCCTACTTGAAGGTGCACGTAAACACTAAGCATCTTGGGGTTCGACCCTTTTCATGCAACCAGTGTGAGTTTACTACAACCAAATCATCTTATTTAAAAGTACATATGGACTCTAAACACTTGGGAGTGCGATTCTCTTGTGATCAATGTGAATTTAGTGCAATTCGGAAAACAGATTTGAAACATCACGTTGAGAATAAACACAGAGGAGTTACATATCCCTGTGACCATTGTGACTATATTGCAACGACTGCTTTTAGTTTAAAGAAACATGTTAAGAGCAAGCATCTTGGTGTACGGTTTCCATGTCAAGTTTGTGACTTTTCCGCAGCAAGTGCTTTTGAGCTGAGAAGACACAGAGAAATTAAGCATGAAGGAGTTAGGATCAAATGTGATGAGTGTGATTATTCGGCGACCAGAGCAGAAATCTTAAAGACGCACAAGATGAGAAAACATCTAAAGTTAAAAAACTTCAAGTGTGGTCAATGTGAGTTTGCAGCGTCCAAAATGTCGAGTTTGAAAGAGCACATTGATGGTGTTCACCTGGGGGTGAGATATCCATGTGAGTATTGTGATCATGTTTCATCATTCAGATCAAATCTAAGTGAACACAAGAAGAGGAAACATGGAGGTATGAAAGGATCAAAATCATTGTCTGGAACTGCATCTAAAAGTTCTGAGAATGAAAGTTTAGAATAATTTTCTGTCATATTTTGATAAAGAAAAGTCTTTCTTCATTGCCAACCTGTTTTTTATCTATATAATTTGTTGTTACAGTGAGGCCAATAAAAATGTGGAACAGGAAAACGACATAAAAGCAATACTTCAGTGTATTTAATGCTGTTACAAAGCAAATAGTTGTACTAGTAAATTATTATATCACTTGACTAATAAAATGAGTCTGGTTACGCTGCAGAATTTCTGTGTTAATGTTCATTGGACCTTTTGTTAAACAGTTTTTTTTGTGTCTTTTTAGATATTTGCCTTTTTCAGTGGAAGATTTGAAGAATGAACAAAAGATGATAAAAGAATTCATCTATTCTGTTCTGTATTTGTGCAATAAGTATCTCATATTTGTTTTTTGTTTTAGTTAAACAAGTATTTTGACGTTTTCTGTAAGCTAGTTAATAAATTTATATATTTTTTGTGTTTTTTTTGATAAATTAAACAATTACGTGTAATGCCTAAAAAAATTTTGTTCAATAATTTTATCAAATTTGTAATTTTTACATAATTTTTTTTTCGTTAAGATTGAAATTATTTTTCAGCTTTTATTATTAACGGGGTTCAAGCTGTACGCTTTACCTTTTAACTAATTATCTCCTCAAAGTCATATTTCTATAAAACAAAGTGACTAAGTGGAATTTTTGGCACAATATTTTGGTAATTTGGCGCCAAAATAATTGAAAATAATTGAATTAATAAATCATGACTCAGAAATACAGTACTCTGATCAGTGATGTGGAAGATATCGTCGTTTTTCTGGATTAAAGAAAATCTTTAATTCTAATAATTTCTCCTTTGTTTCATAAGTAATGAACGCACGAGTCACTTTGCCGAGAATCCACAAGTTAAAATTAAAACTTTTTCAAAAACAAAAACATGGATATCAAATTCATTCAGGATTCTCGATCAGGCGAAGATGTTAAGGTTAGCGTTGTAAATCATTTCTTCGATTGTACGTCCTTTAAAATCACGAGGATAGTCTCTTGAAAAAAAATCTTAAATCTGGAGAATTATTTATTTCATCCTCGGGAATTTTTCCTTCGAAACTATACCTGTGTTCTTTTTTCTGTTGTCTTCCCGAAGGCACTTTTTTTGACTTTGGAAAAAAACAAACTAATGTAATTTTTAAAGGTGGATCTGTTTCAGCCAGTCATGATGTATTTTTACCCATCTGGAACTTAGGAAGCAATCGAAATTTTGATAAATATTGAGTTTCCAGGTGTTTCGTGGCAAAGCACTGGCTCATTTATAACTTAATTTTTACAAAATTGTTTTGTTTATTATGGTTTATGTTTTTTTGATATTTTACATTTTGGATTTTTGGGTTTTTTCAGATACTATATTCCATATGAAGTAAGAGAGACGCAAAACCTAAATCATTTTAGGAAAGTATTGAAAGTTTTCTGAGATTGAGTTTCTTTGATTGAGCCAGTTGAGGCGGGAGCTGTCCTTTTTACAGGATAGAATTCTGGGTTCGTTAATTGAAGTAATAATTTAAAAAAAAACATTAAAAGTAATAAATCAATGCCTTGAAAACTACATCTATATCTATCTATATGTATGCTACTTTGCTTGTCTGTCTGTTTGTTCCCATTAAGCGTCAAAACAGCTGAACCGAGCGGGTCCAAATTTTGTGAAATACAGGGTGTCCCAAAAACCATGGGAATTCAGTGACGAATTCGATGTCGTCTTTTTTAAGGATTAGTGTTGTAATACCTGATGTAAAGACATATTATGTAATTTCGTCTGCTAGAGTATATTTTACGTAAACTTTAATAAAATGCTGTATTATTATTCTGTGTTGTATAAAACTCATTGAAAAATTGTCAAGACGACATTTGATAAATTCTTCCGATGTATTCGTTATTAAGGGTTTCACTGTATCATATGTCATTTCAATTGTACTAATGTCCAAAAGGACTATAGTAATTTTTTTAAAAAGTTTTTATGAAGTTCTAATCATTTTACACAAAAATAATTCATGATGTAATCTTAATATTTGAGGGCTAGGTTATGTTAAGACAATTTCTGGGCCGAGCGCTGGGGCTAGGCCCATTAAGGGACCGAGCGTCGAAGCTAGGAGTAGGCCAGGCTAGGGGGCCGGCGCTCCGGCCTCTAATTTCTAAAAAAATTATACAAATATGTGTTAAAAATTTTTTGATTAGTCAATTTGAAATTAACAATTTTTATTGTGTTCATATGTACTCATCTGTTCATATGTTCAAATGAACTTAAAACCGGTTTGTGAACAGCTGACTTTAGTGCAATTGTACGACAGTCCAATCGGACTTTAGTCCAATCGATATAGCTTCTCGAGAATTTTTTTATACAGGGTGTCCCACAAATCATAACAGTTGGTGAATAGTTTAAAATGTCTTCGACAACTTCAAAACTTATGGAAGATCTTCCATAATTTTTGAAGTTGTTTAATAGAAAAGAGAATAAAAAAAATATTGTACGACAGTCTTATAATATTGGATTTGATTTGTAAAATTGATTTCAAAGTAAAATATATTTGAGTAATCGATTATTTTACGAAATAAACTGCAAAAATTTTATCTAATGCAGTTTATTGAAGAAGACATTAACAAATTTTCAGCAACTGTAATGTTTTGTGGGATACCCTGTATTTAATGGGACACCCTTTATTTAATGGGACATATCTCAAAATTTTAAATATTGCAAAGCAGAAAATTTCATAGCTCTCTCTCTGTTAAAATACACGTGTGAAAATAATAAGGTCTCACAGCCCAAATATATTTGTAAACATATTTACATTACATGATATGTTTAATGTTTATCTTAACAAAGCATTGTTGTTCTTCTTTCTGTACATAATTTGCTTACATTCTCTTAGAAACTGCAGTACGTTTTGGTTGTAAACAAAGGGGGGTATTTTGACTGGAAAACGTCAGATTGATTAAAGTCCTAATTTTAAGTTATTTATAATACAAAAATCTGATCTTAAGGTTCGGTTGTGGTAGTAAAGAGTTTTAAGTTTCATCCTCTGTTGGGAACCCTGTATACTTTTAAAATCAATGTATGAATTGAAAGTCTTCAATATTTTTTGGCGGAAAGTTCAACTTTGTACAAGGAACAACTAAATAATTTACATTTACTTTCTGTACAATTAACTTTCGGCATACAGTACATAATGAACAGACAGTTGTTTAGATACAAATGTGGATTGTTAGAAATAAAAATATTCTTTTTTAGGGGAGGGGGGTAGAAATATGATAAATCTTCCTTTTGCTTTAATTTACAGATGTGTTCACAATTTTAATTTAAATCTCAATAACACTTGGAATTCTATTAGATTTAATTATCCAAGTTTGAAATATCGAAAGTTCAACTAGTCAGGATACAATGATAAAGGGATTAGAAAATTTTAGTTTGTAGCAAAGACTCAATTCTTTTGTAACTCAACTTCTGTACACTATAACAATCGTACAGAACGAGTTTAAACTATTGTCAAATGTTAAGATTTTAGAATGCCGCATNGATAGTCACATAAACAGATAGATAAATAGATATATAAACAGATAGATAAATAGATAAATAACTAGATAGATAAATAGATAGATAAATAGATAGATAGATAGATAGAAAGATATTTGACGGTATGCATGGATGACAATAGTCCCATATTTAAATTTATTAGGATAATGTATAAACAGAAATATATATTTTACCCTCTAGGTTAAAAAATAGTGACAGCAGGGGGAATATAACAGGGGGATTTGTGCGATTTATTAGTTAAACTATACGCCAGTTAAAGGATTATTGCAGGGAAAAGTTATAAATCAATGATGTCATAATTTTGACTTTAGCTTTGGATTGATCTGATGTCTATTATATATCCATGGTCGACTTATCATTTTCAACTTGATTCTGGCAAAAAAAAATTGGGTAAAAAAATGAAAGCCCTCTGGACAAGTTCTGACAACGCTCTTGTTGAAAATTAAAATTTAATTTCTGATTGTTTTTAATGTTTGTTCGAGTTTTTGGAAGTTTGGGCAGGAACTGTCGAATGACAGCTGACAAATGCAATGGCGCGAAATAACTCAAGGATTAATTGCAAAACTTGATTTTGCAAATTAAACCCTATCCCCGTAAATTCTTTGAATATATTTTAGGAGACAACAGGGATCAAGCAAATATTAGGTCTGCACTCAGGGCGGGGAGACCGAGGGAAGTAACAGTAACACCCCTGGACGAAGAGTTATAGATGTCTCATTTGTCTCAATCTTTAACTGAAATCCTGGCTAGGATTCCTGGATTGAGCATGGATCCTCGAGAACCCTCCTCCCCTTGGAAATTACGCGATCCCCTTTAAAAAATTAAAACACGGCCCTGCAATCTTCATTCACTGTTCCCTAAAGGCGCAATTGCGGATGTCAGAAAGGGAGGATTTAAGATCCTGGAGGGGGAGGTCTTTTAATCTTTGTCCATGATATAGAACATTTTTTCCAAGTTGTCTCACTTTTCATCAGGGCCTTTTAATAATGGTTTGCAATTGGAAAAATCAAAGTTCAATTTGACATGCTTTCAATATAATAAAAGAATAACAGCAATGTTGTTCTAAGTACGACGTATAAACACAAAAAAGGAAAGTTGTTCTTGCAAAAAAAAAAAATTCCTATTGAAATTAGATATCTAGACAAATTATAGTCTCTCTCTATTCACATTTTAACTCTGTTTTTAATAACATTTTTGAATAGCTTTTAACAAATTTGAAAGGTAAAAGCGCCTTTAAGTCCCAATTTGCTTTGTCAATGTAATTTTACACTTCACAGTCAAGTACAGTTTTTAAATAGCAATGGACGATTAAAAAAATGTTACAAAATATACAATGGCCACTTTAATATATATACTTCAAACTAAATTGAGTTTACATTGTATTAAGTATATTTTTAATTGTACTGTACTGTACTACATGTTGTGTTGTACAGGTCTACAAAGTTGTATTATTTACCTGTCCACAGACTCTGCACGTGTACGGTTTAATCCCGGTGTGTAAGCGCATGTGCCGCGTCAACATATCACTGCGCGCAAAACTCCGTTTACAGACTTCACAGTAGTACGCCTTGTTGGACGGGTCAACGTTTGTGCGGGATTTATGACGGGATGCCATGTGCTTGGTTAGCCTGAAATAAAAAACAAATAACATATGAGTAAAAAAATATGCTATGCATTCTTTGTGACATTATAGCTCCTCCGGTGTGAGAAAAGCAAATTCGTTTGGATGCAATGCAATTATAAATTCAAAACTTTGTATTCTTTGAAATTTCTCTTAAACAGAGAAGCTAATAAAAATCAAGGATTTAATGCAAGGAAAGATATTTCAGATGTGTACGCATCTTTTGTACTGCAGTTTACTGTCTCTGGGCGGTAATGTAAATACAAGACGGATGTCGAGCCTGACATGGGATCCATCTTTCACATAAATAATCAATGAAATATTCTGGTCATAGGAAACTATTATGTAAATTATCAAAATGCAATGCTTTTAACCTCCTCGGATACTAAACGAACACTGAGGCATCTATTCTTGTTTACAAATTCCGCCCAGAGAGAACTGGTTTTAATATGTTCGCAGAGTATACGCGACAGCAATTAACTTTCCTT